GGTAATGGTGAAGAGTGTGGGGCACAAAAATTGTGGGCGGGTCTGCTCTGAGGTGGGCGGAGTCAGACGAAGAATCTGTAAAATAGCTCAAGAGTACTTCAGACACCGGAAAAAAGTGGAGTACAGAACAAAAGGGGATATCAGTTGAATCTAGAAATATGTGAAAAGAAAGCACGCGGCTAAGCCGCGCGACCGGCGCGCGGGCGTATAAGAAGGAGCCGCGCAGGGGCGGTCAGCCGGCGAGGCGATGGTAAGAATATTTTGAGTCGTTAAAACAGTCTTCAGTTCGGGCGTAACTAATTGCACGAGGAAGGGCAACTTGAATTACTTGATGGCGTGAGGGCTGTCTGTTATGTCCTCTTGGTACCGTTTCAAATGCTATTATTTGGGAGGAATGGGAAAAGTGAGAGGGCGCGTAGAGCCTGTGGCTTTTTGCACACAGAAGAACGGCCACTTGTCCCTGGATAACAACGAAGAAGCCTGATGCTGATTATCCATCGTTCGCCTATCATTTGAAAAGCAAACCCCATATCACGAAGATGGGGAGGGTGTGGCTGCGTAATTCATTTCAAGCTCAGCGGTCAGCCTGTTTAGGGATATTGCCGTTTGATGAGCTGTTGTAATCATGCCTTTTTCCCACCACAAACAGGTTTTCAAATTAAATATCCCACAAACACGCATCCTACGGTTTCTTCCAAGTAAGGACGCAGCCACGCCCTCTCAATCATCGGGATATGCACTGCACATTTCAAGTGGCCTTATCACTTGTTATCTCTGTCTTTGTGGTCATTTCATCCAAATGATCCCTATTTTAAATCTTCCATCGCTCAACAGCGAAAGCCCGTCTCAAGAGGATTTGCGGCCGCCTCATTCGGAGGGTAGTGTTCATTTGGCGGAGCGAGGAAGCAACATCCGCGCGAGAAGTTTAAATGACGCTATGTAGCGATCTGAATGAATAATTAAGACGGTGATGGTGTAGTGGCAAGTGACTCCCTTACCACGCGTCCGTCTGGGGGTCTTCTGCCGGACCGCCTCTCGGATAGGCCAGCTGAACCGTATACCCAGCATGCGTAAACCTTGAAAAGTGTAAACACAGCTCATTTTGTCAAGTGTAAGCGGAGCTCCTACTACTCTTAGATCAACAAGAATTTACAAGTCTCCGCAGGATCGCAGAAATGACGAAAACCAGCAAAATGCCCCCACCAAGCTCAAATGAGCCCTATTTCTCTTCCCTTTTGCAACAGAGACTAGTTCAGTCTCAATATTTCATTGAAGGACAAAGTATGTTGTATCTTATTCGAAAACTAGTCTTTTCAGAGAAATCCGGAACTGAGACCAGCTACAAAAGTTCAGATGAAGACGCTGCGATGGGAGAGTCAATGCCAGCGATTCCGCAGTTCCCTTCGGCTTCAGATGCTGCTAACGACGAACTGAAGAGATCGCTGAGGCCCGTTGAAATCATACTAACCGCGGCTAACAATTCGTTACCTATCGGACTTCAGGAAAGGGACCCATTGACGCTTGCAATACATGTAATTCATATGGCACGCATAAGCCCTAACTCGCTGACATATAGTGATATGAAGCCAATTTTTCTAGCGCTAAACAAATCGAGTGACGACATTTCCGAATATCTCAGACCAAATCCGTCTTCGTCATCAAGCTGGGATTCAAACCCATATAACTTCGAAACTACTCCCTACCCAAAATCCAAAGTGGGTGCAAAGGAGTTAGACTTCTTGGCCATAATGATGAGTGATGCTCTCGAAAAGCTGTGCGATATTGCCACTAAATTAACCATTTGTGGATCGACGCTGAAATCGTATTTTGAGTTCCATTTTGGTGACAAAGCGAAATATTCGACAGACATTGGCAGTATTTTCCAAAACGTTGGGAAAATCGCCAAAGCAGCAAAGTTCTGTTGAAGGTCCAGTCCACAGTGATCGTATGTGGGCGGAAACAGTCACTGACACATTAAGCCTCCGTTGTTCACGTTCCCTGTATTTTTACAGTTCTGAAAGATGAAAAGCGCACTAATGATGAAGGCACAATCCTTGACTGTCTCCGCCCACACGATCAGTGTGGACAGCGACCTTGTTGCACTAGTGATTGATTTGGGGTGGAGGTGAACGACGCTGGCAACGTCTGTGATTGGCGCTGCCTGATAAGGACCAATTGCAGTGGCATTTCATGCGTCGTACTTGCCGATGACCGTTTTACCTGATTTCTTTAGTGAACACATGACTTCATTCCAATTAGGAGTCTTTTTCAATGATGTGAGATTTTTTTATGGTCGGCTGAACTAGTGCAATAAAGATTCTCTCCAATACTGTGTTCAAGTGACCGGCCTGTTGAAGCACAGAAGGTTCAAAGACGTCGCGAGCATAGCTCGGCTTATTAGGGGGGGGGAGGGGAATATGGCACTTCGCTACTTCCCATTGTCCTATTTCTTCTACTGTAATCAAAACTATGATACTATCCTACCTACCACTTTCCCTTGATTTTCCCAGCTCCCTTCCACCTTTTCCAGTTTTTCCGGAATTTCCCAAAATTTTGCTGTCGAGCTCGGGAGGGTGAAGGGGTCGTCAGCAACCAAGTACTCATTTCAGCTATCGGAAACAGTAGTTGTATAGAGCTTTGGCGGCGCCATCAGCTAGGGGAAGGAGTCTGTTCCAACAACGAGAAAATACGACCTTTTCTCCTTATGGTATCCGTAAAACACGAGAAAGAAACCAGCGAGAAAAATTTTCTCGGACCAGATACGAACCCTTCTATCCTTAAACCAAAGACGACCCATTGCTGGGGATTCCCCACGTAGGATGTGGCCAGATTGTGAGAGTTGGCAGGTATTATTTACAAGATTTACAAGCGAAAATGCAAAATGCCTCTTTCCAAATCAAAATGCACCGCTTTCATTTGGAATGCCTTTGACATCCGTCTCGTTCTCCCATACCTTTGGTTTCTCGGCGCATTTTGGCGGCCGTGGAAGGGGAGGGAGGGGTGCACATTCGCTGCCTCGCCAGTTCCAGATCACAAGTTCAATTCTGGTGAAACCTGTGGACTCTTATGAAGGCTGGAGCAAGCTCGTCAAGCCACCAGGATTCTATTAATGTATTTATTTATTTATTTATTTATTTATTTATTTATTTATGCGCACAGCGACGCGTACAGTTAACAGCAGGTGACGAAGCAATTGAACAACAACACGAGATAAGGGAGAAAGACAAAAAAAGAAAACAAAAAAAACAAATCAATAAAAGGAAGAGAGAAAAATTCAATAAAAGACTCAAGGACTGTAGAGTGAAACGAAAGCGAGAAACCAAAACAGTACTGAAACCGTGGAGGTGACCAGAAAGGAATGGAAACCTTGTAGAGACAGTCGATTGAGAAAAAGCCTAGTTGGTCAAGAGAGCAACTATGAAATGAAGAGCAATAACGTAGTGGCAGTCTACACAGTTCACCAAGCCAGAGCCTACCGCCGCTAGAACATGTATCAATGTGGTACAGAGGCTCAGAGATGGTCTAGAAGCTGGCGAAGCTACAACCGCCTACACTAACTGTCCAGATGCCCTTGCGCCACAACTGGGGTCATGGGAGTTTGCCGGCACTTCGAAACAAGAGTATGCCAGTTGCCCTCCTGGAACCGGTAAACCAAGCAGGAGTGGCTAACAACAAGCTCGGAATTCCTAGACCATTGCACGAAAGTACCAGTGCAAAACAGTATCCGAAAAGAATCTGAAGATCTAAATCCAGACCCAACGACGTGGTCGCGGCAGCCGAAGAAAAAAATCGAAAAATCTTCCTCAGTTAGGAGGCTTCTTGACCAACAAGACCGGAATACAATGTCGTTACGAAGGAGTTTCTCAATACTGTTGGAGGGACCTACCCTTTGTCGTACATCATCAAGACCAAAGTGCTCCAAGAAATTACATTTTATGAGTCACCGTTTGAAATGGACCGACTCAAAGAATGAAGAAGGCAGATGCGAGAGCCAACGAGTTGTGCGCAGAATGAAACTGTTGAGCTACCTGTGGAGTTTGCCGATCTTGTGCCCAAACATTTGAAAACATCCTCGACGTCCGCTAGTAGGCCGGAAAACCCAAAATGCGGAGGCGGAGTTCACCTTCCAGTAATTTAAAAGCGAAAACTAAGCGAACAACAACCACCTTGTGGAAAAGAGTCTTCAAATTCAGTTGACGAACCTCATAGGGTGGTAACGTTTGCGGATAACTTGAGTCGAGGAAGACCTTGTAATACAGATTTCTAGTAAATGTGTTTGTTCTGATTCGAGCTTCCGAATGTCCTTCACAAGAAATGGGTTCCAAACCGGGCTACAATACTCCACGATGGGGAGTATATACGATTTGTAGAGTCTTATCCATAGTTTAAGCTCAGTGCAAGTGAATATTTCTGAATAAAAGGTAAACCAACCTTAGTGCTTTGTTACTAATTTCTTCAACATGTTCGCTCCAGCTCAGCTTCCTTGAAAATTTGACCCCTAAGTCTCTTACCTTCTCGCTACGTCGTAAAGGGGTCTTGTTCGGGAAGACGATATCGGTCTACTGCCTAGCGAAAACAGCGCGGTTTCATTGTAGTTCATTGCGAGACCCCAGCACTCAGCTTAGGTGAGCATTTAATCAATCTGTTCAGAGCTAGCTGTGCCTCAGATCTGCCGAACAAATCACAGTTATCGCCACTTTTACATCATCAGCAAAAACAGACCACAGATATTTCGCTGTCACTTTTGAGAAAATTTGGCAGATCATACGTGTAAATGAGGAAGAGGAGAGGTGACAGGATGCCCCCCTGGGGGACCCCAGAGGTGCATTCTCTCACTGTTGATAGGCTACCTCCAAAGCGGACATTCATCTTCCAGCCATCTAGGTAAGACTCGAACCATTTCAAAGCCATATTTCTAACTCCAATGGACTCAAGCTTTGCCAGTAACTTGGAATGGCATACCTTGTCAAACGCTTTACTCATATCAAAATAGACAATACTTACGTTGTTCCAACTTCAAGGCTTCCGTCCATTAGTGCGTACAGTCTATTGGTTGCGCGCTTGTGGACCCACCGGGAAGGAAACCGTGTTGGTCGGTGGGGACAGTCGAAGTTTCGAGATGGAGAAGCTTCTCCTTCACTATCTTCTCCATTATTATTCAGTGGGGTCGGTAAGATACTTATAGGTCTAAAGTTCGATATGAGATTGGAATTGCTAACTTTTGGCAGGGGTGTAACGAACGAATTTTTCCAAACGCTAGGAACTTCACCAAGAAGGAGACAAATATTGAGTATATGAGCAAGGGGGATAGCCAGATATTCGGAAAACTCTTTGTAGAGCACTTGGGGTATCCCGTCAGCTGTAAGGGACACGGACCCTTTCGAAGATAGAAGATTTTTAAGCACTACGTGAAGAGAGACTATTGGACATTTCAAAACATTCTCTAGAGACTGATGGCAAAGGTGGCATACTACTGCTTGCCTTTCCAAATACACTGGCAAAGTAGTCCTGCGATAGCTTCCAGCTTTGGAAGCATCAGTTGAATACTTGCGCCCATCGGAATCTACCAGAATATGAGACACGTGCGAACTAGGCTTAACTTTTTTGATAAACTCGTAAAGTTTCTTCATATGGCTACTTTGAGCCATTTTTCTTATTTTGTATGCTGAGAAACGCCTCACCTGAGAGTTTAGTTTACGCGAAACCTCAATAAAAAGCGGTTTCGTAGACGGTTGTTTGGAAGAAAGGAACAGCCTTTCACGTTGCTCGAAAAGATTGATGATATGCTTCGGGCCGACTGAACGTGTATTTCTCAAAATATTCAATGGGAACGTGCTGAGAAATGAGCATTAATGACACTAGCGAAACGGTTATATGCATCGTCGACATCAGCGTAAGAATCTAAAACCTCTAACCAGTCAGTATCAGAAAGGGTTTGCCTAAATTCCCTTTGTCTTCATGCAACCAATCAGAGAAAAGTGTCAATTTCCTTTGAAAGCTGCATTCAGAATACTAAATGAAGTCATGTCATGGTCTGAGCTCGCAAAAGGTGCACAAGAAGAAATATCGGAAATGGAATCACTGTCTGATTAAATGATGTCAAGAATTTTGTTCCCTCTAGTGGAAAAAGTTACCAACTGCTCCAAAGAAAGACTTATCAAAAGTACTAAGAAACTTTTGTGCTTCGGAGTTGAGCGCCACGTGTGAACACCAGTCAATATTTAGGTTCAGATCTCCTAGAACTGTCACGTTATGCAGTGAGGTCGAAACCAAGTCAGAAATCACTGTAACTAGCTGTTCATCTTGAGACAGGGTAGACTGTGGGGGGCGATATATGAGGAGAAACCTGTGATTACGAGAGGACGGCAAAAAAACATCAAAGCAACGAACGTTGGCGTTAAGAACTCCACAGTCGAATTCAACTGTCTCATACAGGACAAAGTTATGCAGCAGAGCACATGGTCCTCCTCCAGTCTTCTCAGTTCTATCTTTGCGAATTACTGAGTATGGGAAGACTGAGCAAAGTTCGGAGTCAGTAATTTTACTATTTAACCAAGTCTCGGTAATAAAAATCAGACCGGGCTTACACGTTTCTATGAGACTATGAAGGTCGTGAATCTTATTCTTTAGACTACGAGCGCTAAACAATAAACAAGTGAAAAAAAACTGATGATTGATGGTAACCTACCCAAAAACTGGTCCAGAAGTTGGATGACTTCGGGCGCTTTCACAGCGAAAATACGCGAATGGTTTTCAATAAGTGCGATGCATCCTCGTCAAGTAGTGACTTGGGTACTAGATTACTGCTCTCAGAGCCAGAGGGCGATGTGAGCCCAGTCCCATTTTGAGTAGCAATGGTGGACAAATCGCATCGCAGGTAAATTGATTATCCGACCGCTCACGGTGCACGCAGGCACGTGAATGGCAAGGTAGTCCCTGGCAACTCTTTTGAGCTCATGAATTCGCTGTCCAGGTGGGTCGGCACGTCGGTGGGATGTAGTGCAAGTGCAAAGTGCCCCCGTCGCTAAGCTGTCCCGGATTGTGCAACAGACGCGCGCTTTGTCGTAGAACGCGTACTACGCGTAGCAAGATTATCTGAGCTGCAGGGTGTTAGGCTGCGTAGCTATTGGCCGCCTCTGAAAATCTGCGGGTGAAGTGAAGATGTTGCGTGCGGTGAACGCATCAAGGCCGTAACGTACCGTAACCCTGAGGGCGTCGTGCGGTTACAAAAGGTCAGACATGGAGTGGCGTTTAGTTATGTGTGGTTTAAGGTGGCGTTTTAATAGCTGTCGTGTTATACGACTTTTGCAATACCCGGCTAAATGTACGGTATCCTTCAACCCGAGGGGTGGAGGCTGCGACCTACGTCGCCTTGATCGCGTAACACGCACCGAAGTCGTGTCCGCTGTAGCGACAACGCGCAATTAATCGCCATGCGCAATCGTCGGGGGGTTGTAGTATGCACGCCTGGTAAAGCGAATCCAACTACTTTTTAACGCGGTATGAGTCTGAGCAGAGATTACGTCAGCTGGGTAAACTGCACATAGGCCAAATTAATTTTACGCGAGGTAGAGTTTGGCAGAACGTACAGTCATTGATAAAAAACGCCAGCATAGGCCAATCGGGGGGAGAAACGATCTCATGTATTTATGTTTATTCATTTTAATAAGAAAGGAATTCATGTGAACTGAGCGTTTCAGTGTTGCAAAGTCAATATTCGTTGTTCTTCATTTGGAACTCAACTGAAAGAGAAACGATTTTTCATGCATCAACACAGATTGTAGGTACACGTGTGAGGGTTAACACAACCTTAGTTTGTTGTGTCGTCGCATCATCGCGTGCGCCAGCGCAACAAATTCCAATGAGGCGTCTTACTCGGTGTCGCTGGGAGGAGGGGGAAAGGGGGCCACGTAATTTCGTGACTGGGGGGGCCGTATTCTCGTCTTCTTTTGTGGCCTAGGCGCTGTGAAGGGGGGGGGGCGGGAATATCTATTTGTTTTGCCTGTTGGGCAGGGGAAAGCGGGGAAAATTGTATTGTTCCCTCGCTGAACTTCTGAAGAGCGGTTGTACTTTTCAATGGTTTTCCGGTTTCATGTTTATAGCGATAACGCCCGCTTTACAGACGGCGCCTGCAACAGTAAAATTCTTGAGCAGAGGCAGGAAATTTTTCGGGAGATTCGGGAAAAAGTCGAAGGAAGGTGTGGGGAGGGGTCGAATTTTCCCTCCCGCTCAACATCTCGATGGGAGGGAATAGGGAGGGGGGAGGATCGTAGAACTCGAACCAAAGTCCCCAACTGATGTTGGTGGCGCGTTGCCTTGCAAACGCCACGCAGTTTTCCCCGCTAGTCCAAATGAAGTGCATGGCCACGCCCTGCTCTGCGTGGCCACGCCGCTCTATCTCCAGGGTATGTAGTTGAGTGTACGGCTTTGGCTATCAGGAGTGAAGAGGAGATAATCGCTACTGTGGCCGGCAGCACTGGTGCATGCACGAAGGAAAGAGGCAGGTAAATACTGCAAAGAAAAAGCTATACAAGTTTTCGGTTTTCAAGCATAAAAACTCCATCGATTCAATGACATAAGTACTTGTAAAGCCAATGGGTTTCTAATGTTGACAGTCTGCTACTAGTTTAGTACGGCGTTTTGATCGTACAGGGGAGCGAGCTGGACTGACTGCGATGTGCTGAAATGTAAAGTTGTTGAAACGATGAGTTTCTGAATTTTGAAATTTTGAGAAAATTATGAAAAAACTGTGTAATCGCAACCTGACTCAAAACATGATACAGAACATGTCTAGGAAGTCAGAGCATTTTATGAAGAATGAAAACGCTGCTCTATTACCGCGATGGGAAAGGGTCAGAAGTTGACGTGACTATATCAACCATACCTAGATGGAGCCTGGGAGGTGTCATGTCGAAGGAGGTTTCCTTCCTTCGTCATGCCTGGCGTCTGACTAGGCAGCCGGGCTCTTATATAGCATCCGCGCGGTAGGGGCTTCCTCCACTCACCTATGATGTTGCCACACAGGTACATCGTTGCTGTCCGCAACCTGTAGGCCCTTACTGCCCTACGCGGTCAGCACTGTGGCCACGTACATGGTGTTAACCTACTTGCCTACGTTCCTGCCACGCACCTTACCTAAGGGTGACTGCTCGCTCAGCGGACTAAGCCTACGTCGCCGTCACCACCTAACTCGAACATGCAACAACATACCAATTACTATGATGAATGAGTCTTCGAGTAATGCAATGGTGAAACAAATACGATAAACCAGCAATACACAAAAATATTTAAGTAATTAAGTAATTCACCACTCTAATGGTAAGCAAGGAATAAACCATGAGACGGAAGGAAAACAATGACTACTGAGTACAAAGAGGTACAGGCCTCAGCCTACGAGACAAACCCTGCGTAATACCTACGGGCCATGACTACAGCCCACTAAGGCATCAAAAAAAATCCCCTCCTGCTAATCAGGAGGTTCGAATGCACCGCCGCTCCCAATGGTTACCTGGGACGTTCGGCGGTCCTGCGGCGATCCGGCTCCCTCGTTGTAAAGCCTGTTGGTCTTGGACGGCAGCCAGCACACAGGGATGAGGACCTTGATGGCTGGACGAAGAGCGGAACGGGCCAACCACTCGGGATGGCAGCACCACGTAGACTGACTGGCGGCTTGGGTCGATGCCTCGGGTCCCTCGCAGTGTTTAGAACGTTCTCTCGGCTGAGCGCGCCAGGACCGTCGCGCCTACTATAAACACGATCCTTTGAAGAGTCGAATGGAAACCATCAGGAGGGATGTCGCACTTTCCCCTAGCCCTTCAGCTAGTCCATGTTATCTAACAGTTCTCACTTTAATGATACCTGCAAGTTTCTGCAAAGTGGTACGAGAGAGCTACTCTGGTTATAAGCATTCACAGGTCTTCACAAGTGACCTGCACAGCTTCGTTGAGTACCCCACCAGACAAGACTGCGCTCCAGATGGTGGTTCGAATGTTTCTTTAGTTACAGAACGCTTCTCCCACCCTGCAACCTGTCCCTTGTCAAACATAGGCCGAACGAAAAAACGGGCCCCTTCAGTCATCTCTAAGAAGCCGATCAGCTTGTAATTGCCGCGTCACCCTCTATGAATGGGGAGAGGAGGCGGTGGGGCGAATCAAAATAAAAAAAACCTTGCCGCTATTACTCTTCTAAATGTGGTCCCTACTACACCACGCCTAATTGTGCTGTTCACAGGGCACGTGCAGCCGTGAGCATTTTGCTTTAATATTAATATTTTGCGTGAAATTTCGGGAAATACCTCTCCCTGAAGGCTTGTGCTCTGTTCAGATCTCCTTCTCCAATCTACCACTATCCCATCAATCACCCTCCTAAGTTCTCCCAATGCTACTGAAGTAAAACAGGTACAAACAAAGGGACAATTTTCTTAGAAGAAATCAACACTCTTCCCGTTCTCCGTCAAGTACGAATCCCCTCCGCCCCCTTCCCACCCGTCGCTGCGCTGAGGTGGTGTCCTGCACGCGCGCTGGTGGTTCCCAACGTACAAAGAACCCTGGCTGTGGATTCCATGACGACGTATACGAGCGTTTTCCAGCGTCTAGAGCCTGAGTCCGGGAGTCGAAACCAAACAAATAGCCTAACATCGATAATCCTTAACTGCGAGCAGTTCCTCACACGCTTGGACGCCTTGCTCCTAAAAAAGCGCTGGTCACAAGCGCTAGTCACAAAGGTACTCGCGGTGAACGAGTGTGATATTTTTGTTCAGAGGACCAAACTATCTCAGGGAACAACTATCAGATTTAGCCTAGCGTTCTATTCCACGGCTGAGTTAGTCGAGGAGTTTATTTTCGAATTGACGATTCCCTCTGGTAGAATGTTTCCGAAATAATGACGCTTTTGCGACTTCTAATCATTTTTGTTGTGACGGAGTTCCCCATCAGCAGGCCCGTTTGCTCGGGCCTGACGATGGTATCGTCATCACTTCAGCAATTTCTGCAAGGCATGGTCTGTGCACCGTCAGGGATCGAACTAGTGACTTATCGGAAGAAGTGGCGACAAGGGCACATTGCACGTTGGGGTCCCGCTGAGAGGGAGAGAGGGTGGTGTCATATCTGGTCGAGGAGAGGGGGGGGGCATGTACGTTTGAGGAGAATGTTTTCGATTGCTTTGGTTGTTGACATTTCGCGGCTTTACAGTTTGACGTGAGCCATATACCCTATACCCGCCCATACCGTTTGAAAGCAGTTCTTTTCCTTGGAAAAAAGAAAGCATTTTGGGAAAAAAAACTTCAGAAACTGGTAGAAAGTTGGGAAAATCCAGGAAAATGGTGTGTAGGATAGGAGAAGGAGAAAGTCCAAATAGAAGAAAAAATTTTGAGAGGAGTCGTATTTTGCAAAAATTTTCCCCGTTGGCAGGACGTCCCCTGGTGGCGACGTCTGCCAAGAGGGCGCGGGACTAACAAAAGGAGAAGAAGAGAAGAAGAATTGGTGCACTTTGGCATGGGAGGGGAAGCAGTTCGCCCTTTCGCCACTCCCCATTGCCTTGTCGAGCCATCAAGTACAGACCTGTAAAAACTTGTGAAGCCATGGAGTGATGCTAATAGAAGTCTGTAAAGACTACTTGTCAACACTTGTGAAGCAATGAACAAGACAATG